TTCTTCTTCTTCTTCTTCTTCTTCTTCTTCTATAAAATACCATAGCTGATCACTTGGGATTTGGGAGGCAGAGGGTGTGTACGCTGAGGCATAAGGGTAAGGGATGAGGCTAGGATGACTTGGCTGGCAAAAAACAGAAACATGCATGAGCAGAGCACAGGAGCTAAATGGAGCTTCCATGTATAGGGATAGCGTATCTCAGAACTACATGTCTTTGAGAACTTTGTTGGAACTGTGATCTATGTATGTCTATAGGAGAACCCTAGAAAACGAAAGTGTTCCAAATTCAGCATTGAAGGGACATAAAGACCCTGGTGATCAAGACCATTTTGGAAGCTTCTAGCCAAAATTTCAGCAAGGTGAGGCTCTGGTTTAAAAGGGGGGGGGTTTCCTATCACTTTGCTATTTGTTCTTAACCTAAAGTATAATAGCTAACACCCCAACAAAGGTTGCCACTGCATTTTACTGATTGTCTTGTTTTTATTCTCATAGACCGTGGCAAAGTAATCAGTGGATTGCCTGCTGTTTCTTGCGACTACAGTAGAGGAAGGAAAGGTAAGGCTGTCTTGTGCTTAGCCATTTTGGAATGGGTGGGAATGAGTGCAGTGATAGGCTAGTAATTTACTTTATCCAATGTATCCACACTAAACATGCTAACATTATTTCCCAGTTTGTTTTATGTATGACTCATTCTCTTTAACATGTTGTTGCTGCCAAAGAAGGAGTCTTTTTAATGATAACCAGGGCAGTTAAGGGGAGAGAGGTTAAATTTACTTGGTTTATGTACAGAACTTGACTGTTTAGCTGGAAGTTTTAGAGACACTTTCCCTTTGTTTGCCCCCAGAGACCAGAGTCATTGAAAATGTCAAAGCGGAAAGCTGACGTTCAACTCTTCAGTGGACTCACAAAGAAAAACCGCAACAGCTTCAAGACTGAGTGGCTGATGAAGTTCTCTGTTGAAACGACAATGCCACACTTCAGTGGACGCAAGAATGTGCAGCTAAAAGAAATCTTCGAGTACCGTGAGACAGATGATGTGGTAGTCTGCAAAATATGTATAAAAGCAGAAGTTGATGGGGACTGGAGCACTGGAAAGAAATGGGACGAGTGGAAAGTAGATTATCTGAAGCGCCACGCAAATCACAAATACCACTTGGAAGCGGTGACAAAACTCCGGAATAAGAGCCATGGACCTCTAATGAATTTCTTGCGAGAAACCCCTGAGGATCGAAACACCAGAATTGAATATGTGAACCGAGAAAAATCAAGTCCAGAAGAGGTCAAGATTTTAATTGACAACGTGCTACTTGCAGTTAAGCTGAATGCATCCATGCTGTCTGTGCAGGATATTCATGACCATGTTGAAAAATATGCCAAAATTCCCACAAGCTGGAGAAGCAAAAACTATGCCTTTGAATTCATTGAATGCATAAATAGTGTTATCAAAAGTGAAATTTTAAATGAAATCCGGGAATCTGCTTTTCACACCCTCATAATTGATGAAAGTACTGACATCACTGTGTCGAAGATGCTCATTATGTACATCAAATTCAGGAGAACTGGCAGTGATATTCATAAAACTGTTTTTGCTGGCATTGTGAAATTGTCTGCTTGCAATAGTGCTGCAATAGTCGATTCCTTAAGGAAGTTTTATGATGAGAATCAGTTGGACATGAATCGCATGGTCATGTTTACATCAGATGGTGCCTCTGTCATGCTTGGAAAGCGGAATGGTGTTGCTGCAATTCTGCGAGCATCAGTTCCTCATCTGCTAGAGCAGCACTGTGTAGTTCATCGAGAAGACTTAGGAATAGATGATGCATGGAAAAAAATCCCACTCATTAGGGAGGTTGAAACTTTAATACGCACTGTTTATACCCTCTTCTGTAGATCCAGCACACGAAAAGCCAAACTGGAGGAAATTGCCAACACAGCAGACAGAGATGTACTTTCATTTAGGCCATTGAATGAGGTAAGATGGCTCTCTAGGCACTTTGCTGTAAGTGCCCTGGTTAATAATTATGACATCTTACTTGAATACTGCAAAGAACAAGTAGAAGAAGATAATGACCCTGTACACAAATACTGCCTTGAAAAATTAAGTAATCCACAATACAAGGTGGCATTATTCATCCTTTGTGATGTTCTCGGAGATTTAGCAGAACTTTGCAAAATTCTTCAGAAGAGCTCTTTGACCACCGTGGAAGCATTTCAGTTCACCAAGGCCAAAATCAGGAAAATCAGATCTCAATATCTGGGAGACAAAGTCCATTTAAGTGAAACTGTACAGGATCTAATTTCATCTTACAGCTCAACAGTAAATATCGATCCCATTCTCCAGTTCATTATGCAAACTTGTGACCACATGGATAAAAGATTTCCAGAGAATGAATTACAGGATTGGTGTATATTTGACAAAGACTGTTTATCAAACTCCTCCAACCTGGACAACTTTTCTTTTGGGAATCAAGAGCTTTCAAGATTAGCCCAGTGTTACTGTGTTTTGTTCCAGAGAGATGAACAATCATATGCTAAGGAACTTCATAAGCAGTATTCAGATTTCAAATTAATCATTGCAGAGAAGATGAAAGCTGGAGCAATGAAAACCTTCCAGGACTTACTGACATTTGCACTACAACAAGAACAATTCAGTGAGCTAAATCTTCTTCTGGATGTGTGTGGAACTTTTCAAGCCTCAAGTGCTGATTGTGAGAGAGGTTTTAGCTTAATGAATGCCATCAAAACTAAGATAAGAAGTCGGTTAGAAACAGATCACCTGGAGAACTTAATGAGAATAAAACTGCATATGAATACTGGGAATAATATTAACATTGACAGTGTTTTCAATTATTGGAAAAAAGAGAAAGGAAGAAGAGAGGCTAAATTAAATGTTTTTTCGTAATGAAATTTGATGATACTGTTCATGGCTATGATGTAAAAATCATTTCTAAAATATAGTTTGAAAGAGTCATATAAGTAATACAAATATGTTCCAAATAAATAAATAAGTTTAATATAAATATATGGCTTGTAATACAAATGATAATAGTTAATATGTTATGTTTGTATGTTTTGTCTGCTTGTACACTGAAATAAAAATGTTTAAAAATGTCGGCCCGCTCACAGTTTTAAGCTAGCACCATTTTTGGCTCACAGGGTAAAATTTCTGCTCACGAGACCGCACACCTTAGAGGGAACATTGGTCTTCACCACGTCATCTTCCTCAGGTAAAACCTGATCGTGAGAAGGGGTTTGGCAGCCGAGGCCTTGTCGATCCTAGTGCAAGCCAAACCTGGGAACGAGAACTCTCACCTGATGTACTCGGATTTTGAGCCTCCCAGGAAAAGAGTGGGACCCGAGTAGGGCGTCTGGAAATCGGGGAAGCTCAAAATTTCATTCAGATGGTGGGAGATGGCCTCCAGGTTCACCCGCCACATGAACTGGTCCTCAGAAGACACCAGATTGGTAAGCAGAAAGTTGCGGGTGGCTGGCTCCTAGGCAGAGAGAAGACAGGATGGGCTTGGGGTGTGCAAGAGCGACATCCCCTCCCAACAACACACATTCTGTGCAATTACACTGCGCGTGCACAAAACATGGAATCTGTTTTGCAACTCAGCAGCCTGTATTAGACAACATTCATTCTCGTGTGAAGTGCATTTCATGGACATAAGCAAAGCCAGTAAATAGTAACATAAATATAATACAAAGCAATACAAAATCTTGATGTAGCTGTTCTTAACAGCGTTAAGAATGAATGTTGTCTAATACAGGAAATTTGTGATATAAGTACAACTAAGTGTGTTAAAATTATCGAAGAGTGATTTTCTTTGGTGAGCTTATTTTTCCTATTGTATTCACACCAGCCTGTCTTGTTTTGGATAATCTTCATGGCTTCTTCTTCCTTCCCCCCCGCCCCCGGCTCTCCTTCCCTTAAAATGAAAACAAGCTTCTGAATGAATTTTTTCCCTCCTACACAAAGTAAACGCTTTCTAAGCAGTTGCTGCCACCCACCCCAAATGCACGCCATCGAAAGGTACAGCAAACAGATATGAGGGAGAAAAGAGAACAAGAAATAGAGGGGAAGAAGGGGAGAAAAAAATTGGAAGGGGGAATAGGAATTCCAAGTATAATAAACTAGTATTTATATAAGGCAATTGTGCCAAACTCAGGGCGGGAGGGGAAAGCTTAAGAGGTCATTCCTAATACTTTAGTAAAATCCACTGATTCCTGTTTCATGGGATTCTTTGGGAAGGGATTGTCACTGACTAATTAGAACTGATATGGACATCTGAAGCAACCATCCTGGAGTCAGACGTAAGAACATAAGAGAAGCCAATGTTGGATCGGGCCAATGGCCCATCCAGTCCAACACTCTGTCACACAGTGGCCAAAAATACCAGGTGCCATCAGGAGGTCTAGCAGTGGGGCCAGGACACCAGAAGCCCTCCCACTGTTGCCCCCCCCCAGCACCAAGAAGACACAGCATCCCTTGCCCCAGACTGAGAGTTCCTATCTATACCTTGTGGCCAGGGGTCGTTTCATAGAAAAAGAGCTAGGGGAGCTCATTAGCATAACTCATTAGCATATGCCACACCCCCTGACATCATAAGGCCCAGCAGTAGACCTGCAAGGCTGGCGGGAGTGCGAGGAAGCCCCGCCAAGGCCCTCCCTGGCCCCAGGCAGGCAGGGGTGGGGAGAGGCGGGGAGGAAGCAACTTACCCTCCCTCTTCTCCTGCCTCCTCCTGGTTGAATGATGGCTGGAAGCGGGGCGGCCAGAAGCGGGGGGTGGGGCTTCGTCGTGTGCCTGCGATCCCCCGCGACCCCCCCCCCCGAATCGACCTCTGCTTGTGGCTAACAGCCACCGATGGACCTTCAATTCCCTCTTGAGGCTGTTCATGCTTGTAGCTGCCACCACCTAGCTCAACTAGGTGGTGAGAATACAACTAGCTGAGCCAGTTCAGGCGGGATACAAATTGAAAATAATAAATAAATAGCTCAGCATTGCCTGCTCTGACTTGCAGCGGCTCTCCAGAGACTTGGGGCTTCCATTCCGACTTGAATTTTGATTTCCGCAACAGAAGGGAGATGCGGCTTTGAAAAAGAGGATGGAAACATATTTGCATGCCTGGGATACATGCTGCTGCATAACTTCCAGTTGTTGACCTGTTAGATAAATCTGTCATATTGTGAACTTGGGAACTAGCAGGGCTATTTTTGGGCAGGAAGGCACAGGAACGGAGTTCCGGCTGGCTTCAGAGTTGGCCACGCCCACACTACAGCCAAAACCTCTGCGCGCGTGGCTACAGAGGGAAGGCCTGGAGAGTGACACACACCCCCGGCGACTATGAGGCGGGTGGGCCAGGGCCCCCCCTGGAAGGATCGGGAGGTATTTAAATGCCTCCCCATGCCTTCCCCGGCCTGTCCAAGGGGTACCCAGGCAAGCCAAGGGAAGGCAGTTTAAACTGCCTTCCCTTCCCTCCAAGGGCTGGCTTGCCTGAGCTCCCCGCAGTTAAACTGCCTTCCCTTCCCGGGGAGGCTTGCCCGGGCAAACCAAGGGAAGGCATGGGGGTGTGGCCTAAGATGCTAATGAGCTGTGCTGTTAGGGGTGTGGCCTAATAGGCACATGAGTTTCTGCTGTTGGGTGTGGCCTATTATGCTAATGAGTTCCTGCTGCACTTTTTCTACAAAAAAACCCTGGGAACTAGTAGTGTTACATTGTAACCTTGATTTACAGCTCATGATTGTTACATTTTGATACTTTATGTGTTACACTGTAATTCTTAGAGCTCTTGACTTTGCATTAAATACTTTTAGCGTTCGCCAAGGCAAGCTGGACATTCCCCCCCCACACACACACTTTTCATTTATTTATTTTTTTGCCTTCTTAATGGCTGGAACCCTGGCTTTGCATTTGAAATGGCTGGGATTTCAGCGCATCTTGGAGAGGTGGTCTTACCTGGATGGTTGAACGCAGCTGCTCTTCAGCTAGCCGTCGAGCAGTGGAGTGGGGGAGGCCTCGTGGGATGTTCACGGCCCGCATGGCAGCCAAGAAGGCCTGGAAGCCTTCCCCCCCCACACACACTTTTCATTTTTTATTTTTTGCCTTCTTAATGGCTGGAACCCTGGCTTTGCATTTGAAATGGCTGGGATTTCAGCGCATCTTGGAGAGGTGGTCTTACCTGGATGGTTGAACGCAGCTGCTCTTCAGCTAGCCGTCGAGCAGTGGAGCGGGGGAGGCCTCGTGGGATGTTCACGGCCCGCATGGCAGCCAAGAAGGCCTGGAAGCTGGTGACAGCTGACGTCTCGCTGGGGCTGATGTCGACACACACCAGGCGCTCCACCAGCTCCGGCTGACGGGGAACAAGCAAGCCAAGGGAG